GGAGATGAGTGATAGGCGCGCGGTGTCCCTGGCGCAGGTAGAGGCCTCGTTAGCGCGACCGGCGCGCTGTGCTGGGGCCGCGCACGGCTCGTTACCCGCGTGGCGCTCGGCGCTCGGCGCTTTGCGGCTTCCTGCGGGCGACCCAAGCGTTATCGCGCCTCACCCCCTCGCCATTAATTACGCACAGCGCCACCCGCCGCGCGGTGGCCTTGGTTCAGGGAAGATTGGAACTGAATGCGAACACATGAGAATCAAGGATAAATGCGCGATGATGCTTGCAAGCATGTGGGAGCGGTGATTGAAAGGGAAGATACATATGTGATATATAGTTAAAAAGGATAAAGTCGATAGTGGGGACTGATGAGAAAATGATGTCTGTCATGACGCTGTAAACGATGGGGACAGAGAATAATGTGTCGATATGTGAAAGTGCAAATGAGAAAGAGGCGATTCCGAAACATATGAATGATAACCAAATATTTTTTGTGAATTTAATGTGTATGTGAGTCGCAGAAATAACATGTAGTGAATTAATGATAATAATAATAATAATAATAATAATAATAATAATAATAATAATAATAATAATAGTACAACACGATTCAGTCAATTCGAAGAAAATAGAAATATGCATAAGTAAGGTCATTTGGGATAAGTTTCTACAAACCTCTTGTCAGTGCAATTTTAATATTTGCAGTATTGTTAATAGTTTTTTCTATGAGTGCTTGAAAAGCTTTAAGGGTAGCATTTAAACAGCAGATGTTTAGTGTATTAAATATGAAATATCTCCTAAATATCTATTTATGAAATATTGTTTATATCTGAGAAAGATAGTTTTCATCATGTTGTTAATTTAATGAAACATTGAAAACAATTGAACATTAAAAATAATTATACAAAATCGAAATATTAAAAAAAAATGGTGACTTTCCGTGAATTGTAAGGGCACACACTATCTCACAAAAAACTATATTCTCTTTGAGTAAGAACTTAGATTTGCTTCAAATCTTTTCAGAAACGAAGAGAAATTATCTACATACGCAATTTGTTAATCCAAAAGAGATATGTGGTATCTCCAGTTCTTTACTGGCAACAGCTGGTATAAGGAAAACGGAAACACACGCTTCCTCGATTACCTATCTCCGTTGATCGTCCTTCACTTAGCCAGAGGATGCGCATAATGACGGAGTTCACAAATTATTAACAACGATGTATTTAGAACACCATTGCATAATCTCTGTGAAAAAGTATTCCGCTACCGCTAAACACATTTAATATTCATTCGTTAATAACTAAGGAATTTTTTCTGTGAGGTTGTGAAAATTTTGAAGAAAAAATAGCCTTGTCATAAGCTGTAAATTCCGTGAAATTAACTACAACTCCACAGTCGCACATCTTACGGGTAGTCTTTGTTGAAAATACGGTTGAACTTCTCCCACAGATTGATTGAAGCTATCATGAAGTACGGTGGCCCTTTTTATCAAGGAATGATATTTATGCGAACGGAGAGGGAACAAAAGATCGTAAAACAAGAACGGCGAGGACGAAAAAATGAAAGCTTGTGCTTAGCAGCAGCAGCAGTCCGTAAGTTGGTAAAGGCGAAAATGCCCCAACGAGTAGTGGCTTCCACGGCAGAACGGTGAGAGAAGTTTCCGGGGAAGGCTAGTGTATTTACTTCTGAATATGACAAAAACGAAAGAAAACAAGGATTAAATATAAGCAAAATATAGTTTTCGAATCAACGCAAACTAATAAGATTGAATAATTAGTGTTTTCGGGCGAACTGCTAATGTCATTACTCCCGTCAGTGTAGTACATGCATTTATCGCGAGAGGTGACTGTGACCTTCACACGCTGGATGGTGAGATCAGATGCTGACCAAAACGTCGGCTAACGTTGTTTTTCTCAACCAGTTATCTCCCACCAGCGGGGCACCATCCCAGCCGAGACAATCTCCGCTCCCGACCGGTCCCCCAATGCATGTGTGGTAGTGTAGTGCTTATTAGTGTAAGTGTAAGGGGGTGAGGATAGGACAATGAAGAGAAGGGAAAGGTCGCGCTCGGTGCGTGGCCCGTTTGTTATGGTACTACTCCGGCATTTGCATCGCTTTGATAAGAGAAACCACCGATCAGAGAAAACGGTTACTACAACTCTCCTCCAGAGAGCGGGAAAATTCGATGTAGCTTTCCAGACAGTGTTGAAAATCCTGCCACAGACAGGACTCGAACCTAGGAATTCCCGGTTAGATTCACTGCAGTGACATTAGTTGATGCTCCGAGCCACATCACTCAGTCAAAATAATAAGAAAGGAATGATAAGAAAGAAAAGTAGAATGGAAGATGTGTGAAGTTGCAATGAAATGTGATCCTAAGGTGATAAAAAACCCAATGCGTTTTCTGCCAAACAGAGCGACAAAGCAGTGATGTAACTGGAACAGAAACGAATAACAGGTCACCAACATCCTCCGAGGACTGAATCACCGCCCC